CACTCCAAAAATACTACAAGGAGTCTTAAAGCCAGAACCTCAGAGGGACGAATAACAATGAAAGAAGGCCAAAAAAAAAAAAAAGTTATTAAAAGAATAAATAAATAAAATCAAAGGAAAGACAAACACAATGGCAAATACAGATGTTAACATATCAATATTAACTCTAAATGTAAATGGACTAAACTCTTCAATAAAAAGACACAGAGTTGCAGCCTGGATTAAGAAACAAAACCCAACCTTTTGCTGTCTCCAGGAAACACATTTAGCTACAAAAGATAAAAATAGGCTCAAAGTCAAAGGATGGAAAACAATCCTACAAGCAATGGGCCAAAAAAGAAAGCAGGAACAGCTATACTTATATCAGATAAAACAGATTTCAAACTCAAAAAGATAAAAAGAGACCCCAATGGTCACTACATTATGATCAAGGGGACAATACTTCAAGAAGAAATAACACTCATTAACATATACTCACCAACGAAAGAGCACCAAAATATATCAGACAACTGTTGTCTTCTCTGAAAACAGACATCAGAGAAAACACATACGTAGTGGGAGACTTCAACACACCACTATCAACAATGGATAGATCAACAAGACAAAAAATAAGTAAAGAAACCAAAGCTCTAAATAAGGACCTAGAGCAATTGGGCTTAACAGACATCTATAGAACACTAAACCCCAAAAAAACGGAGTACACATTTTTCTCAAGCGCACACGGATCATTCTCCAGGATCGATCACATACTGGGGCACAAGACAAACATCAACAGATACACCAAGATTGAAATCATACCAACCATTTTTCTGACCATGAAGGCATCAAACTAGAACTAACCATAAAAAGAAGGCAAGGAACTTTCCTACCTCATGGAGATTAAAACCACACTACTGGAAGACACACTGGACTAATGAGGAGATCAAAGAAGAAATTAAAAAATTTTTTGAATTGAATGACAAGGAGGACACCAATATCCTAAATGTATGGGATGCAGCAAAAGCAGAAATAAGAGGAAAATATATAGCAATAGAAGCTCACATCAAGAAAACAAGAAAGAACTCAAAAAACAACTAATCTCGAAGCTCAAAGATCTAGAAAAAGAACAACAAAAAAAACCCCAAAACCAGTAGAAGAAAAGAAATAATAAACCAAAGCAGAAATAAATGAAATTGAACTAAAAAAACAATCCAAAAGATCAATGAAACCAAGAGCTGGTTCTTTGAAAAATCAATAAAATAGACAAACCCCTAGCCAGGCTCACAAAGGAAAAAAGGGAGAAAGCACAAATAAACAGGATCATCAATGAAAGAGGAGAAATCACAACGGACACAGCAGAAATCAAAAGAATAATCAGTAACTACTATGAACAGTTATATGGAAACAAGTTCAACAATCTAGAGGAGATGGACAAATTCTACAACTCTACAATCACCCAAGCTAGATAAAGAAGAAATAGAACACCTAAACAGACCAATTACAATTAGCGAAATTGAAAATTTAATCAAAAACCTCCCCAAAAACAAAAGCCAGGACCTGATGGATTTACAATGAATTCTACCAAACATTCAGAGACGAATAGTGCCTATCCTTCACAAACTCTTCCAAAAAATTGAGAAGGAAGGAATACCAAACACGTTCTATGAAGCAACATTACTAATACCAAAACCGAATAAGGACAACACTAAAAAGGAAAACTACAGGCCAATCTCCCTAATGAACACTGATGCAAAAATCCTCAATAAAATTTTAGCCATCAGAATCCAACAATGTATCCATAAGATAATTCACCACGACCAAGTAGGATTCATTCCAGGGGCACAAGGATGGTTTAACATCGAAAATCAATCAACGTTATCCAACACATCAACAAAAAGAAATATAAACCATATGATAATATCAATAGATGCTGAGAAAGCTTTCGACAAAGTGCAACACCCATTCATGATAAAATCCCTTGAAATTCTTGGATACAAGGAACATACCTCAACATCATAAAGGCCATCTATGACAAGCCAACAGCCAGCATCATTCTCAATGGTGAAAAGCTGAAAGCAATTCCATTAAGATCTGGAAAAGACAAGGATGTCCACTCTCACCACTGCTTTTCAATATAATACTGGAAGTCCTAGCCAGGGCAATAAGACAAGAGAAAGACATCCAAGGAATCCAAATAGGAAAAGAAGAAGTCAAACTATCACTATTTGCAGACGATATGATATTATACATAGAGAACCCAAAACTCCACAGAAAAGCTAATTCAACTCATCAATCAGTTCAGTAAAGTGCAGGATACAAAATCAACATGCAAAGTCAGTAGCCTTCTATACACAAACAATAAATCTGAAGAAGAAGAAATAAAAAAAACCATCCCTTTGTATTGAACAAAAAAAATCAAATATTTGGGAATAAATCTAACAAAAGAGATAAAGGACCTATACAAAGAAAACTATAAAACACTGAAAAAAGAAAAAGAAGAAGACACAAAGAAATGGAGAGACATCCCCTGCTCGTGGATTGGAAGAATAAACATTATTAAAATGGCCATCCTTCCAAAAGCAATATACAGATTCAATGCTATTCCAATCAAAATTTCAATGTCATTCTTCAAAGAAATAGAACAATTATTGATGAAATTCATATGGAATCACAAAAAACCCCGAATAGCCAAAGCTCTCCTGAAAAAAAAGAAGGGAATGGAGGCATCACACTCCCAGACTTCAAACTATACTACAAAGCCATAATCATCAAAACTGCATGGTATTTGGAACAAGAACAGACATACAGACCAATGGAATCGAATAGAAAATCCAGAAATAAATCCACAGATTTATGGTCAACTAATCTTTGACAAAAGGAGCAAAGACTATGCATTGGAGCAAAGAAAGTTTGTTCAATAAATGGTGCTGGGAAAACTGGGTCGCTACATGCAAAAGAATGAAGCTTGACCACTACCTCACACATACACAAAAATCAACTCAAAATGGATTAAAGAACTAGACATAGACCTGAACCATAAATATATAGAAGGAAATATAGGCGAAACACTACGGGATTACATCAAAGACATCTTACAGACACATCACCAAAGCAGTGATAGTGAAGGCAAAGATAACAGCTGGGACTACATCAAATTAAAGAGCTTCTGCACGCAAAAGAGACAATAACAAAAACAAAGAGAAAACCCCACCAACTGGGAGAACATTTTTGCACCCAACACTAATGATAAAGACTGATCACAAAAATCTGCAAAGAGCTGATGAAACTCACAACAACAAAGAAAATAATCCAGTCAAAAAAATGGGCAGAAGAGCCAAAAGAAACTTCTCTGAAGAGGAATGCAAATGGCCAACAGGCATATGAAAAAATGTTCAACATCACTTGCCATCAGGGAAATGCAAATCAAACTACCATGAGATCCATCTTACACCAGTGAGAATGGCACATATTAAAAAAACTAGCAACAACAAATGCTGGCGAGGGTGTGGAGAAAAAGGAACTCTTCTGCACTGTTGGTGGGAGTGCAAACTGGTCCAACCACTGTGGAGAGCTGTGTGGAGATTTCTGGACCTACTAAACATAGAGCTTCCATATGATCCAGCAATTCCACTCCTAGGTATTTACCCAAAGGACACAGAAACATCAATTCCAAAGAACACCTGCACCCCTATGTTTATAGCAGCACTGTTTACAATAGCTAAGCTTTGGAAACAACCCAAATGCCCAAAAATAGATGACTGGATCAAGAAGATGTGGTACATATATACCATGGAATATTACTCAGCATTCAAAAAAGATAAACACATGCAATTTGCAGCAACATGGATGGGCGCTGGAAGGGATCATGCTCAGCGAAATAAGCCAAAAAGAAAAGAAAAATACCGGATGGTCTCACTCATAGCAGGAATCTAGAAAACTTAAATAAGGGACCAGGAAAATGAATAACTATAAGAAAGTGAAAATCAAATCAACAAAAACTATGAACCAGAGACACTTTAGGGGGGCGGGGGCGGGAGGGGTGGGATTGGGGTCAGAATGGGGGGGCTGCAATTGTATGGGGAATATAACAATAAAATTTATAAAAAAAAAAAAAAACTGATATTATCAGTAAAAAAAAAAAAATAACAATAAGAGAAAAATTCAAATAAGCAACAAAAATAAACAGAGAGAACATCTGAGAAAAAAAAAAAAAAAAAAAAAAAAATTCCGAGGAAAGGAGGGTTAGCCACCAAGACAGGGTTAACAGCTGGGTATTGTGCATTTGTCCTGAGTTGTAGTGCACATAAGATGACCTCATGAATGTGAATATCCATGTATCCATTTTATTTTATTTCATTTATATTAAAGTTACAGTGCAGTAAAAAAAAAAAAAAATAAAAAAATAAAAAGGTTTGGGATAGCCAAAATCAAAGCCAAACTTGATGAGTACATACAACTACCAACCCTCCTTTATTAAAACATATGCAGCACTTTGTCTTTTAAACAAGAGAACACAATATCATTTTTTAATTAACTTAAAATGTCACTGGTGTCCAAAAATTTTAAATAATGATATGATACTTTTAAAAAGGATAAATTACTGATTAAGAGGTTCTGAGTCAGATGGTCTGGCCTAATTCCAGATATCTATGTTAGAGGTGCAAGAACTTGGAAAAGTCCTCACCTGTAGGTGGAGATATAGTACTATCACCTCGAGGACTACAGAGTATTCTAAGCATTTCACACATTAACTCATTAAATTCTTTCTTTAAGCCCATTGGTTGATATTATCAGACTCATTTCCTAGTAAGCTAAATGACACCCAGGAGGTAATATAACTTGCCCCAAATAGTGAAGGGTGACAGAAAACGCCCCCTCAAAAAAAAGAGTCACACTTTGACATAAGAATTATTTTGAGCTAATGGCATTTGAAAAACAGTAGGAATAAAGAGGAGCACTCTGATGGTCCCTTTTCTTTCTGAGGCGATAAAACCCTCTCGGGGAGGATGTCCTTTACATACCAAGAGAAAATACATTCTGATCACAAGAGATGAAGAGATGATGAGGCCAAAGGAATTCTGCACAAGCAGACCCTGTGAAAACAACGCCAATCTTCCTTTAGTCTCCCCATATATTTCAGTTACTTTTCCATAAATGCATCTTTAAGTCAGTATATAAATATAAGCCCTTGGATTTTGCCAATTCTTTAAGCCTTCATTTTCCTATAGGGGCTCCCATTGGAAACCTAAAAATTTGTTTAATTTTCTCCTGTTTTTCTGTATTATGCACATTTAATTCTCAGGCCCAGACAGAGACTCTAAGAGGGGAAAGGGAAAGTTCTGCCTCCCCTATAATGGAAACTCTAGTAAGCTGTGAAGCCAGGATATGTACCCAAGGGGTCAGGCTCCAGGGCATCTTGGGAGCTCCTGAGAAGGAAGAGAGATGGTGTGACTGAAGACAAGAGAAGGACAACAGAGGGAGGTGAGAATGGACATGATGAGGACTGATTTCATCAAGACGTCAGAAGAGTAACGTTCAGCAGAGTAGCAGAGCCCACAGGAGAGCAGCGGTGCAGGGGGTTTTCATGGAAAATGGTGAAGGGGTAGAGCCTTGCACCCACAGTAAATAGGCCTAAACTGAGTCAAGCATCAGCAGACATGAGAGCTGATGGGTGACGAGGCTTTGGCTGACATTGGGGAGGATGTGCTTACTTGGATCTTCTGAGTGAGGGTAGAGCACCAGCTGTACTTCCAATGAAATATACTACCCTGCAATGGATTCCTCGCCATGACCGCCTAATTGCGAGACATACGTTAAAGGGGACACCAATCCAGCTCAGTCCAAGATGGTCCTAAGAAAACTCCCTCAAAATACTTCACATCAGTATCTGGGGAATGCACCGCTAGAGTTTAGAAATACTGATGAAACAGCTGGTAGATGAGAGCATATTAGAGTAATTAAGTCCTGGAAATTCCCCAATGAAATAGCAAATGTGGAAGTTTCTGTGGCTTCTGAGATTCAAAGAAAGACCACTTCTTGGGCCTCCCTGGTGGTGCAGGCGGTTGAGCACAGCTCTGTGAAGCTGTCTGCGGCCTCTGCAGCGCGGGTTCGATCTCTGCAGGCCAGGGAGCAACTCACATGGCGCAGCAGACCTCTCCTGTCTTGCCCGCTGCTCCCCTCAGCCCTGTATTTCAGTCAGTCTGTCTGTTCTGTTGTCTGCTCTGTCTCTGGTGAATCCTCTCACCCTCCCACACATCTGGCCTGTACCCGGTTCTTGTATGCGTGAATAAATAAATCTTAGAAGAAAAAAAAAGACTGCTTCTTAAACCAGAGTCTAAAAAAAGAAAGGCCCACAGCAGATAAGCTTTACCTGCTAAGGAAGAATATTCTGGAGACTGGGCCCCTACTGAGATAGCTGTCACACAGGCAGTGGAATATCTACATGCCACAAGCTACCAAGTACTGGAAGAGATTTTAGAAAGAACAGTACCACAGGCAATTTCAGTTGTGGTTAAGACTTGTGTCTACAGTGCTGCAAAATGGCAGCCAGTAGAGCTAGGGAAGTGATGAAGAAGTGTAAAGGGCTGTTTTTGAGGTATAGCATTAGAAAGTGTATGAGTCCTCAAAATTGCCAGTGCACTAAATTCATCTTTTAAATAGCTGTTTGATAACAAAAAGAATAATGTTGATTTCTAATTATGGAAAATTAGAAAAGAGCAGAGTCCTCTTATATGTGTTCAGACTGCAGAGATGCTCTAAAATGCAGAATACTGAATACAGTTTGAAACAGCAGACTTTATTGGATCATATTTCTGAGAGAAAAATTTATTGTGAAACTTCTGAAAAAGCAGTAACTTCACAGGAGACCAGAGGCATCCTTGACATTTTTCATTTAATGAGGCTAATTCAGAAGGTGAGAGGGGAAATAACACTGGCAGCTTTTAAGGAACAAAAAAATAGAGGTTGCCATAGTCAGTTTAGAATTGGAAATTGGGAGCAGAATTGGGGTATCCTGAGACGAGTTACCACATGAGTGCATGTAGGCTTCCCACACCAACAAGCACTTCTCAGATACAAATAAGGTATCTGAGAATTCACCACAGATACCAGTCCCAAGCCCAGGCTGTTCCCTGTGCTTCTGACCTATTGGCTGTAAGTCAGAGGTTCCCACAAACTCTTTCCTTAGATTTGATCAGTTTATTGAAACTGCTCACAGAACTCTGGAAACCCATTTACTCACTAGATCAGTGGTTTACTGCAAGATATATAACAGCGGAACATCCAGAGGGAAGAATGACCCACAAATATACTTCTTATAAATTACAATATTGCAGAAACCAAGGTACTAATTCCTGACACAGAAAAAAGGGCCACATGAGCAAGGTAAGGAGAGAGGACCTGGAGCTCCCATGCCCCCTCCAGGCCTGCCACTTTCCCTATAGCTCCATCAGTTCACAACCCTGAAGCTCTATTTGCTTCTCCTTTTGGGGTTTCTATGTAGGCTTCATTACACAGGCAACACTGACTCACACAGTGGCCACTGGCAATTGAGCTCAACCTCCAGTCCTTCTCCTCTCCCTGGAGTGCTGGGTTGGGGCTGAAGTTCTGCACTGTAACGAAAAGTTGGGTTCCAGGACTTCCCAAAAAGTCAATCATTAACAAAACAGGAGCCGTCTTTATCACCTCAACACTTAGGAAATTCCAAGGATTTGAGAAGCTGTGAACCAGGAGCTATGAAGAGCAAATATATGAGGGAAATAATATATTTTGATCATGAGAACGGCCCAAATATATATTTCTTTTAAATTATGATATTACAGAAGCCCAAGCACACATTGCTGACACAGTAAGAAGCGCCACACAAACAACACTCCAACTTATGCCAGTCAAAAGGCTCTCTAGGAAAACCACCAGCCATAGTCAAAGACTATATCCCACTATTATGCCTCAGGTATAAGGCTCTTGTCAAAGAGAAAACAATTCTAAACACCTTAGATACTGCCCCTTTCCCAGGCCACATGAAGTTAAGAAAAATACAAAGGTCTGCCAAAACATGGCTGTGGAAAAGATGGCACATTCTAAGACAATGTATAGCCGTGACAAAACTCTATTCAGGTCTCCCACAGATTAAAAACCAAGAAATGGAAGAGGGTTTAAGAAGTAAAATTCCTGTGTCCTCTCAGTCCCTGAAGAGAAGATCTAAAGCGCTAAAGACCCACCCACCTATACTGAATGTGTGGGGTCAGGCATATGATGTGAGCCCTTGCACTGAAAGGGCCTAAGATAAAAACTCAGGAGCACCCCTACAATCCTAATGGAGTCATCCTTCACTTCTCAAGGCACATGGAGCATTCACGCAGGCTAGAGGACCCCAGTCTGACAGGGTTCGGACAGGGTTCTCCACCAAGAGGTTGGGAAGAGGGCCTCCCCGGTGGCGCAGTGGTTGAGCGCTGGGTTGCGAACCTGCCCGCGGCCTCTAGGGCGCTGGTTCGATCCCCGGCTGCTCCCCGGCCACCAGAGGAGGGTCCCACATGGCGCGCAGACCTCTCCTGCCGCCCGCTGCTCCCCTCAGCAGTGTACTTCGGTCCTTCTGCCTGCTCTGCTCCCCGCTCTGGCTCTGGTGAATTCTCTCACCCTCCCGCGCTTCTGACTGTACCCAGTGCATGTGTAAACAAAAACAAAACAAAACAAACAAATAAATAAATAAATAAATAAACATGCCTCTATTAAAAAAAAAAAAAAAAAAAAAAAAAAAAGAGGTTGGGAAGAGAAATCTGAGAGGAGGCACCACAGAAAGGCCCAATGAGTTCATGCAAATCCTCTCAGAAAAGGAGCCTCAAGTTGGCAGGAGGAGGTCCAGAGTGGAAGAAAATGCCTGCCCACAAGAGCATACTGGGTATTGGCTGCTCCTCACCACCCTCTTGGAGGATCTATACAAAAACTGCAAATTTCTTCCTGATGGAGAGACGCTATGGCATGAAGGGAGTGTTCATTTTCAGAAATCCCCTTAGGAACAGAATCACGTTTGGTTAAAAGAATTATTTCTTTTAACCACTAAACTCTGAATAACTAATTTTATAATCAAAAATAAAAGTCAAACAGTTAGGAGACTATTAAACATTACTTGCTTCAGATGCTAATTTAAGAAGCAAAGTTGGTGCTACTTGTAAAACAGAACACAGAACTTGAATTCATCAAGGATTCAAGATTTTTGGTTTTTCCCAATTAAGATTTAGCTTATTAGATAGGAAAAAACAGAATGATTTACAAGTTTAATTTGAAGGACACAGCAAAACCAATATATAAAGAGTCTCACTTGATGACAATATTCTAAATGACTTATGCTTTTATTTGTGTAGGTTTCATATACATAGACTAATTCTGAAAATAGTATGACAATTTCAAAATCAATCATGTAATTCGCAAGAAAACTTAAAATGTGTCATCTAAGTGTGATTTTGTTTTTTGAAAAGACTCACCTAAAAGGACAAATCCGTCTGCTTCTCTCTCTGGTATGGCAGGCTTTTTCAATTCTGGAGGCTTTCTGAAGAAGTGAAACATTGCTGCCACTGCCACTGCTATCTGGAATAGAAAGAATATAAAATGTCAAATTCCAATCAAACTGTGAAACTTAAAAAGCCAAACTGAGGACATCTCAAAAATTACTTTTAGGAATTCTATTACTAGACTTAAGAACACAAGGTTTCTATAGGTGTCAGGAGACAAAGCCAGGAACAAAGGCCCATGGACTTCATGTTTGAAATGTATGCCTTGAATAGCGCCATGTCTCTCAATTTCTGCACATTCAGGAAATCACCAATAAGAAACCACCACATGCAAAATTAGAATCAATGCAATCTGGAAGGATCTTACTCATGTGTATCAGACACTGTTTTGAGGAAAGGAAAAAAAAAAAAGTGTCCGTGTTTCTTGTCACGCCATAACCAGCCTAACCTATAACTGAGATTACCTAAAAAAAGCAAAGAAGACCCTCAACCGTTGGCTACCAGATCCAGACACTCAAGGGCTATGCCCATTACATAAAATTGCAGCCAACTTTCAATTTCCATCAGCTTAGGCCTTCGTGTTAGAAAATGTTGTACAATGCCTCTAACACACACATACACCCCTCCTCCTCCTCCTGTCTTTGCACATTCAGTCAGGGTAACAACTCCTGAAAAACAACTGGGAAAAAAGCTGAAGGGATCTTGGGAAGATCCATGACATTCTGAGGACTGTCTGACATGATATGCAAAGCAATGCAAATGTCAGCCAACAACAGAAAGATCTTGGTGGCAATAGAGGCTCCATGTTTTAATTTTCTTATAGGCTACCCACACCAGAAAATCCAACGAGGAGGCTAAGTCAAGATTTAATCTGAGCAAAAACCTTCCAGAAACTGAGATCTGTACTGGGATCTATGTTGACGGACTGTACTGGACTGGAGATCTGAGGAGGAGATGAATCCCAACATAAGCAGATGGTGAAAAGAGCCTATTTGTGGATAGAAAACACAACTGGCCAATTTTATTTTTTTAAAGGAATAAAAGGTAGAGAAGAAAAACATAAGTCTGAAAAAGAAGAGATTCCAAGAAAGGAAAAGAAACAGGCTCTGAAATCCTCAAAGAGTTTACTGTACATAGTGAAGGATCCAAAAGAAAAGTTTAAAAATAGTCTGGCACACTCCACAGAGTCAAGGACACATAACCTCCACAAAACTGATGAAAAACAAGATTATACGGAAAAGCTGAAAAGCCAAGGAATGAGATGAACAAAGTAATAACTGAATAAGATAAAGAAAAACCCATGGAAGAAAGAAATATCAGAAAAGAACTGGTTGGCTTGCGAGTAGGAATGTAAGAAATCAGAGTTCAAATACAAAGATATCTAAGACTGGAAGAGGTAGCTACTTCTCAACTCCAAACAGTTAAAAATTGGAGAAGGCTTTTGAAAGAACACAGGTGATTAAAACTCAAGGTAAGGCGAGGATCAAATCAAGGCGATAACTATCACACCTGATATTAAAACTTCAGGCTGGATTAAGATGGCACTCAGTAAATTTTTTCATTGAGTGTAAAACAATTCAGGAAAGAAAAAAAAAAAAAGAGACACACCAAAGGGTGTAAATTTCTGAAGCCTGGTAAAGCCCAGGTATTCCCAAATAAATAAAGGGAGTAGGCACACGCAGGGTTGTAAAAGAGGAGAGACATAGCAAATTTGAGAATTTTATCTAGCAAAATTGTAGATCTGGTTGACACATGAAACTGACTAGAATCAAATAAAGATGCCAACAAGATTTTTGAGAGTTGTTCTGCCAAAATAACCACTGGTCTAGATTAAAAGAAAACTACAACTAGTAAGTATCTCAAACAGCTCTGCAGATGGAAAGTTACAGGGAAAACTGGTTAGGTCCCAAGGAGGGCGTAAGTCTCCAGTGCCCACTTCGGGGTTAGCCAAAGAAGTTACTGGGAAAGGAAGACACTCCAAGAGCATGGAACCAAATGGGCATGGAGAACAATGGCCTGGTGGGTCTGTCCCAGAGAAGAATCCAGGCATAATTAGGGAACATCCTCCAACCCCAGCTGGGGCCTGCTCAGCGGGATTTCAAAATAGCCACCCCTTTGTGACTGCTGTGTAGCTCCCAGCCCTTGCCTTTCTGAAAGGGAGTGGTTTGAGCAGTTCTCTCTCCCACCTCCGCCAGGGGAAAGGCAGGCAGAGACGGAAGAGGGACTACTGGTCTTCTGAGTTCATGAAGTCTCTAGACCAAGAGATGCTACTTCTAGACCTGATAAAGAGACTCTAGCACATCACCCAGAGATACTAACTTGGAGCATGAGGCTAATGCCTGAACAGCCATTTGGGTGATTGCCCTTGGGAGGGGTAAGTTATTTTGCCTATGGTGGGGAGACAGAACCCAGTATATGGGGACAACAGATGAGACCCATGGAATTAATGGGGCCATTTTCTGGCCCTCAGCCCTAAAGAGGCATAACAGTACTGCTGTTTTCCACCTTCCTTGGACGTAGGTGTGGCATGTGGCTTGTTTAGACCGTGATGTCACATGCCAATAGTGTTATGACAAGGCATTCTGTGGACACAGAGAAAGAGCACCCTTTAAAAAAATGGTTCCTGTTCTAACATAAAAAGAAAAGATTTTTCAACAGAAAGACTCAAATGTCCAGTGCTTTTTCAAGTTAGGCCACAAAATAAAAGAACACTAAAATCACACAAGTGGTTCTGAAAAGTCATTCTCAAGGCTCCAGCATTTAGCTATGTTATAAAAGCCTGTCCAGACTCAGGTACAGTGCAAGAAACTTTCAGTAATGCAAGTATTTTGTACAGAATTTATAATTCAAAGTAATGAGAGAAGCATTTAAGTTTTTCAAGACCTGAAACATCGGATTACACTATATACAAGCTGCCACAGTTTTCTGATAGCATGACTGACGAGCAATGCTAATATTATGGAACTTTACATTATAAAATTCCAAAAAAAATTGGAGAAAGAGGGATAACTTAGGTTCCAAGAGTCAAGCAACTTCCAGGCATGAAAGGAAATCAATCAGGAATAAGAGAAAGGGCCGACACAGTATAAAGGAACCTGCAAAGACAGCAGATGAGTTGAGACAAATACTATATGAAATGGCTCTGAAATTGCTACAAAAGTACCAGTCACTCTAGCACCCACCCGCCTACCTACCTGCCCATTAATTCCTTCCTTGACAACAGTCCACCACAAGACGGATTCCCACAGGAATATGGTCCCAATTTTACAATCACAGTATCAGGATTGCCTTAGTTGGCCAACATTGCTGCTATTAATGCTTCCTGCCACTAGGTACCCCCAGAGTCAGTCTGAACACCTCTCTTTACATTAAGCACTCCACGCAGAAACGACAATGTCTTAAGACAATAAAAATGAGTAATCATACTATCTTTGTGCCCCGCTATCCTTTTCCTATCAGTGAAAAACACACAAGGTGGTGTAAAAATTCATCCTGCCAGGGCTGGCAAATACCACTCTAAGCCAGGGTTAGTTGGTCTGCCTAAGACTGCAATACTAGAAACTGGGAAGGAGAAAGGGAGTGACTACAAAGCCCACTGGCACTTGCTGACTCCTCCAGCCTGTGGGACACCAGACCCGACGCTGTGATGCTCCATCTCCCATCTACAACACGCCCCAGGCCCCCATAATGCTTCAGTGTGTAAGTGAAAGAACCAAAGGAAGGTAAAGTCTTGTTCCAGGTTTATGTGGCTCATAAACAGCAGAGCTAGAATGTTAAAGCAAATCTTTGGGGCAGCAAAACTGAAGGCTTTTCATCAGCAAAGCACCAGAGGCAAGGAGTCCTTAACACTTACAACATCTGTGTTGAACTTTATTTCCCAATATTCGTCATGTCTGTCTTTGCCAATCCCTACTTTTCTCAGTCTGCTCAGCTCATCTACTAATTTCACAGCTATGTTCAAAGACTTTCTTAGTTTATATTAATATTTTGTAAACATTCATTAAGTGCTTAGGCCAGGTCTGAACCTAGCACTGCAAATGCAGCACTCAATTATATTTAGGGGAACAAGCTACAACCTCAGATTGCCATATTTCTGAGGCAGTGCTTAGCAAAACTAAGTAGCTGAGAGCCCCATCTCCAGAGCGGAGGAGGCCAGCAGGCCTGCTGCACTGGTATATGGTCAACTTCAAGCACTCACGCTTCTGATGTACATGGCCTTGACAGTGGGGCTACTTCTGCCTAAAGTTCCCAAACACTACCCCCATAAAGCTACTTGAAAAATCCATTATTAGCATGATATTCTAGATGTCAAATAAATATTGTAATTCACAATTATTCAGAAAGCTGACTCAACTCTCCTAAACCACTCTGTGTTAACAGATAGTCTTTGTATAAAAAAGAAAATGCCTCTTTTCTCTTTGCATTGACACAAAACTAAAAAATAAAAGAACAGTGTCTTCACTTTTAATGGTATACACTGACTGCATATAAAAAGGGCCAGCCTGGTGCTAGGCAGGGCAGATCCTATTACTGTGAAAAGGAGGGCAAGTTATACATTTCTTTTGACTATTTTACCAAGGCTTACCTTACCCATGACAAAAAGAATAAGGCCAAGCTGGTTTTCTCGGTTTGATTAAAGTAAGGTTCATCCAGAGGCCAGGTAATGTCACAAGAAACCATCCTCTCCTCTTCATGGGGGACCCTCTCCTCTCTCCAAGAGAGGAGATCTCTACCAAGATCCTCTACCATTCCTTAGCTCAAGAAATAAGCCCTCAGTTTATCTCATTTACTCTTGAATTTATGGCCATATAAATTTTCCATTCATTTATAATTTAAATACAGTCTTTTTCTCCTACCAAAGTGTCTGATGTTAATGTGTTTGCTGGACCAACTCAAGAAGAACCCACAGGGGGTGGGGAAATTTCCCCTGCCCCATGACAAAAGCAACAAGTTCACAACTTTAAACACTGTACAGACAAAATACATCCCTACAAAACAGATTTGGTCTTTAGGTGGCAAAGCTTTAGACCAAGGATAGGAAAAATGCTTTTAATAACCAAAATCTAATCAGTATAA